ACAGTATTCTTCCTATAGTCCTATTTGTTTTCTGTGTTCAAAGAGTAAATGGTATCAGGTGGTATAAGGCATCCATGTGCAAAACAAACATGGTATTATGCCCAAAAGACTATAGTATATATACTTTAGCACTTTTTTGTTAATGTGCACTCATGATATGTCAATGGAGCAATGCAATAAATATCTTAAAAACTAAATTTACAATACTGCTCAAAAGTTCAGTTTTTAAAGGAAATTAATACTTGTATTATTTTATTCAGCAGAAGAACATTAAATGGATCAAAAGTGACAGCAAAGGCATTTATAATGTTAGAAAAGATATCCATTTCAAATAAATGCTGAACTTTCTATTTATCAAAGAATCCTTTTTTTTATTTATCTAAATTGACAATAAATCTAATCTAATTAACAAATCTAAGTTAACATCAACAATAATAATGAATGTTTCTTGAGCAGCAAATCAGCATATATCAGAATGATTTCTGAAGGTTCATGTGACACTAAAGACTGCAATCATGATGCTGAAAATTCAGCTTTGCATCACAGGAATAAATCACATGTTAAAATACATTAAAACAGAAATCAGTTATTTTAAATTGTAATGACATTTCCCAATATTACTATTTTTAATCAGATAAATGCAGCCTTGTTGAGCATAAGAAACTTCTTTCACAAACATAAAAAAAAATCTTACCAGCCCTAAACTTGAATTTTAGAGTAGATCTTTGAAGATATGCGTGTAAATGTGTACAATGATACATTAGCATTGAAACATCATATCCAAGAAAAGAAACATGCACACCTTTATTAGCGACCTCCCATGCGATCTCGAACAGGACTGCATCCTCCCGATCAAACTCTTCATCCCATTCCTCCAGGCCGGACAGGGAGGTGACCGACAAACTGCGCGCCAGTGGCATGCTGGGTAATAATAAAGAACACAAGAATAATATCAATCAATCGATCCATGTTTTTAGATTAATAGTCTCATTTAAAGTAATATGCAGCTTATAGCCATCATATAAATGTGAACCTATGATGTGCCAAAAGCTGTCGACATCAGTATATGACCTTCAAGCAAGCACCACACACACACACACACACACACACACACTTCCTCATTCTCTCCTGAAACAAAATTATATCAACAGCAATTCATTAAAATGACTCATCTTCTAACATGGCTCACTGGCTCTTCCTCTCTCGGATTTGCACACACAAACACATTTAAAAAAGCCTCTCTAGTACTATGAGCAAGTCCATGTTCAAATTATATAATATGTTGAGATGTCTACAAATACATAATGACACTGTGCCTTCACCTCAAGTCTAGGCATGACCTTTTACAGTCTATGATCATAACACCATGTAATCAGTCAGACCATCACTTACACACCCTCCACTTTCAACATACCTTGAGCAACATGAGGCCTGTTTTACGAGAAAGACAGAAAGTGACTGAGAGATGGCGTTTAAAGTCCCTGTAAACCCAGACAGGCTTCATGAATGACATAACGGTTTTTTAAGGTCCTCCATACAATATAAACACACCTTCACTTGCTACATGGATTATGAAACCACTATGTAGTGTTCTTAAGTGTTAGTGAAGTGTCACACACAGTTTATAACCGCTTTCTTTCTCACTCAGACGCAGACAGACATGGTACGTGCGCTTCGACCACACAGTTCAACGCAGAACGTCACCGTCACCATAACAACAGAGCAAGTAAAGCGTTTTTCGTGGACATAAATATAAAAGTGCGTTAAATACACGGGTGCACACGATCAAAAAAGTCGCAAGCTTTTCCTCTGCACGCTCGAGGAAGGACGGACGGACTGGCCAGTCGAACACGGGCTGCACAAGTGGGTATGACCCTGATAAATGCGTGACAGGAATCACGGGCTTCGCAGATGGATGGTAACGTTTCTCTGCGGGTTTTAAAACACACGGACATGTAATTTCAGACTGACAACACATAAATGCAGTAAGTTATGCACTCACCCTGCGGTAGCGTCCTCTCCTCGCTCAGCGGCGCAAGCCTCGCAGTCACATCTGCTGGAGTCAATCACCAGAAGGAAGATTTGACAGTGGGCGGGGTCTCCTGCGCAAATTCTCCTTGTATTATACGGCAATTTGGCTGTCCGTCAGGGTGACAGCTAGCACGCGACAAGGTGCGTCATAAAATATGGGCGTGTCTTATCTGACGCTGACTCCTCCTTCTTGATCTCTCAGTACATGAAGGAGCAGCGTCTATGGCAAGCCGTTTTAGCTTAAAATATCCCCAGTGTTACTCATCGTAATTTCATTTTTACTAGTAACGATTCAATTAGAGAGCTCTACAATTAAATTCTTACTAGTAACAATGCCAGTTAGAGAGCTCTCTAATTCAGTTCTTACTAGTAACAAATATAATTATAGATCTCTCCAATTCCATTATTACTAGTAAGAATTAAATTAGAGAGCTCTACAATTAAATTCTTACTAGTAAGAATTACAATTACAGAGCTCTTTAATGCAATTCTTACTAGTAACAATACCAATTAGAGAACTCTCTAATTCAGTGCTTCCTAGTAAAAATGTAATTACAGAGCTCTCTAATTAAATTCTTACTAGTAAGAACTGAATTAGAGAGCTCTCTAATTATAATTGTTACTAGTAAGAATTGATTTAGAGAGCTCTCTAACTGGCATTGTTACTAGTAAGAATTGAATTGTAGAGCTCTCTAATTTAATTGTTACTAGTAAAAATGCAATTACGACGAGTAACACTGGGGATATTTTAAGCTAAATACGGCTTGCCATAAGCGTCTCCTCTTCCCCAAAGAGAGGCGTTTACCTGTATGAACAATTTGATTGGCTAAACATAATGTTGGGAACAATTTTGCATCCCTGCTACTTTCCTCTGGCAACTCGCAAGGATAGTAAGCCGTTGGCTTTTGCGTTTTGTGCGCACTTTAAACTGCACTCCCTCAAGAAACTAACTTCTGCCTTGATCATTATAATCAACGACTATGCTTGTACAGTACATTCATTACAGATTTTTTGTTTTAATAACTTGATAAATGTTTATTTTATTATGTAATGTATACAGATATTCTACTATTGTTTCTATTACTTTTCTTATTTTATTCATTAACTAGCACTTATTGTATACCGTTTTATTGCTATTTTGTTATTTTAATAATGGTATATTTCTTTTTCTTGTCATTGCTTGTTTTGTCTGTAATGATTTGGCAATATTATATGTAAACACAAGCATGATAGTAAAGTACTTTAAAATTTAAAGTGACAACTATTAATGTATATGCTTAATGTATATAATAAAGTACTTTGGTTTAAAAAATATGACTTGCATAGTAATTAAGGATGTAGAGTAATTTTTTTTTTTTTACTTTTATGTATGACATATTATTTCTGTATTATTTTTTATCAAATGGAATGTAACATTCAACCATTTCTGAAATAAGTAAACAAATTTTCAAGTAATTATTTAAGTAAACAGTTTCAGGTTCATGTTCACGTATAACAGCAGCATCAAGTATTTCAATAAATATCTAGATATGGGGAAAGTACAAAGAGCTCTTTGGCTGCATTTAAACTGTAAGCGCTAATTTGTGGCTTTATTATTATTATTATTTGTCTAATTCTGACACACATTCGATTATCTATTCATTTATTAAAACATTGTTTTTATTCGCTCTTCTCAAACACGACCCTCTCAACATAGCAGTAATCGTCGTCAACATACAAGCGATTCACTTCCTACATTTCGACCAATTGCAGTCCTTCGTGGACCCTACGCAATTTTACCGGGAAAACGGATGTTGCTCTGGTCCGGTGGAAAGTGACAGTCAACACTGTGAAGTGGCGGGAGATTTGTCAAGCACATATGTGGAGTAATAGCGATCGAGCTGGAATAAAAGGTGAAAGATTATGAATTTGTTCAGTGGCTAGAGTTCACCTAAATATATTAGATTGCCTGATGCACCTCGCGCGAGTTTGCTGCGCCTCTTTGTTGTTTTGCGTGTTGCTAACATGTTCTGCTAAGTTTCTCGTTTGTCCAGTTCTCCTAGTGTAGTATTTAATAATACGCAATGTGAAAGTAAACATTATGAGTCTAAATCTTGTTTATGTGATCTTACTGTTGCTGAATAATGTTTATTTTGTTTGCTGGATTTCCAATCAAGATTAATTATAGTTGAAATAATACTTGTGTGCAAAACTTAAACAATCTGTACGTTGTGTATGTTGCTTGTTAAACGAAATATTGCTGCTTATGCACAATACTTAACAATGATGTTGACCCAACCTAAAGACACCCAGATCATCAATAACAATAGCTTCTAAATAGTTGTTAGTGGGACTAGTGACAGAGTACGTTTTGCAAATCACTGTAGTTTTATTCGTAACGTTTCTGTCAAACTCCAGAAAATTAACAGAACAGACAGTTAAGCAGCTTAGTTTGAAAGACTCCTTTACTTATTTTTACGCCTGTTTCATTAGCCCCGCCCATTTTATGCAAATCATATAATTTTTTTTATTACTCCTTAAGGTTGTTTTGATGTTATTCTTTATTTTTGAGACGTTTAATCGTGTGGCGTGCACTATGTCTTCACTTTGTTATATTCCTTTATAAATTATATACTTTGTTGTTACCCATACCTGAGTTCAACACTTATTCAGTTGGCAAGATAGAAGTGACTGTTTTTAAGTGTTTGATTTGTTCATAAAAAGCTGACATTGTTTTTGCAGGACTGCTTTAGAATGGACTTTAAAAGGCGCAATGGAGGCCCTGCAATGGGTGGGGCTTCACAGGCCAAGAAGGGGAAAATGAGCACCGAATGGGAGGATAGTCCCTCCCAGTTTGAAGAGGAACTCGCTCTATTTGATGAAATGGAAATGGAGGCGGAGTCAGAGGAGGGCCAGGCAGGTCATGATGTCATTCCAGTGGGTTAGTATGTGTTTTGTCTGTGACTTTGTAATTAATTAAGTTGCATTCATTATACTCCCAAAAACCAACCCATGAATACAGTTATGCAAGCTTCGCCACCCAAAGCTACCAGGCTTATGAAGCCAACATTGACTTTGAGATCAGGTGTGTGTTTTGTGTGTACTTGGAAGTTTCTGAAACTGGTGGTGTGTGGTGGACATTGCTTGCTTGACCCGACAAAGCATCTGAGATATGCTGTATGTACATGTGATGGCAGGTTCATGGTGGACAGTGATGTGGTCGGTTGCTGCTGGATTGAGCTTCCTAAAGGGAAGTACAGGCTGAGGGAGGAGAGAAGTGAAGGACAGACAGGCTCAAAATATCCCGGAAAGGTCAAAACAACAAAACAAAAAACTGTGATGTATTAAACTGCCACACTTATCTGGTGTGTCTTTAATCTACTGTATATCTCTCTCTCAGGTGTCCCTGTGTCAGTACGAGGTGGATGTGGCATGGAATGACTTGGTCAGTCATCCAGCTGAAGGAGAATGGCAGAGGATCGCTCCACTCAGAGTACTGAGCTTTGATATTGAGTGTGCTGGCAGAAAAGGTGTGTGTGTGTGTGTATTTTTAACTTGTTTAGGCTGTTTTAGTTTAGCTTATTCTGGTTTCAGTGGCAGCCCATAAAACCACATGGAGGAAAGTTGTGTAAAAAGTTGTGAATCTGACACACTGATTGTGTTTGACCTCAATATTTCTGGTGGAAATTTTAGTATCACTATCATCACTATTTGTGACCCTGGACCACAAAATCAGTCTTAAAGGGGTCCTATTATGCTCTTTTACAAAGTCTTGATTTTGTTTTGGGGGTGTACTAGAACATGCTCTCATGCTTGGTGGTTCGAAAAACGCATTCTTTTTCACATAATTTACATTATTACAATAGCTCTCTCCCCAGGCAGGCACAAACGGCTCGATTAGTTCCGGCTTTGATGAAGGTCCGCCTTCCGAAAAACAAAATGTGTTGTGATTGGTTAGCTTTCCCAGTGCGTTGTGATTGGTGAACAGCTTAGACGGTGTTTCAGTACTGCCACGCCCCTTGCTCCGTTTGCAACCACTGTTTCCGGACATCATCCGCTTTCGGAAGCCCGAACAAAGACGTTTGGGCACGGAGGTGAAAGAACAGCGTTTCAGGCAGTCGCGCACCGGACGAGAAGCGCAGCGTCACGCCACGGCTTTAAAATTCAAATACATTATTTTCTATGAGTGTAGGCACACCGGCGGCCCCGTTCGGCATCTGTCCGCGGCGCCCAGCTACGTCGTGTTATATTTGTAAGAATTGTTCTAGACCAGCGGTTCTCAATTCCAGTCCTCGCGTACCCCCACTCTGCATATTTTGCACGTCTCTCTTGGTTAACACACATGATTCAGATCATCATCTCGTTAGAAGTGAGCTCCGTGCATGAACTGTGTTCCGATTGACATGCTCCCTACTCCCTGACCTTCAGAATATTCATTACAGATTTGCGCCGCTGCCTGCAGCGTCTTCACACACATATGAAACTTACTAGAGAAGCATGAAGTGGGACATAATATACCTCTGTAAATAAATACAATTTAAATTCACGTCTCGCACACTTAAATGCCCTTT